ATTTATTAATCCTACAGATTCCCAAGGTTGATACCTTCGACTAGAGTGAGGAAAAAAAAAAAAAAAAAAAAACTCTTAACAAACCACAAACCTTCGAGGACGATCTCTCCTCCAATCAGCTTCAGATCTGAGCTCCTATCAGTCCCTGCATCTCGTTAACCCCACTTGACCCTTAGATGTGAAGCCAAACGAGTGCCTCGTCTCTCTCTCTTTAATCTTTCAATTAAAAGCCACAGCATCTGTTTTCTTTGATTACCAGACTTTCAGATGTGTTGGATGAGCCACAAATTAATTATCCGCTCGTTTCCACTTTCTCTCTCTGCTGTAATCTGTCGAGGTTTTCATCATCAGTGTAGATTAGATTAGACCTCAGTTTCCTCGTCAGAGGAGACGAGGGCAAAGATCACTTTCTCTTAAATCCTCACACAAACACAAACTGTATATTAACACAAACTGAGTCCAGGATTTTAAAGAAATCAGGCAACAGACAGATAATAAAAACATGACTCAGACATGAAGCTGCTCACATTCTGTGATTTTTGAAATTGTTAAATTCCACCTCCCACTTTAACGCTCGTCTGATACGACCTGACGATGTTTCTGTGAAAGAAGTTGAAGTTTGATGCTAACGATGCTAACAGAGAGAAGCATGGTGCTTTGATCACACGTCGCTCATGTGTTGAAACGTCCTTTGAACATTTGGTTTGAAAGAAGGACAGAAAAGTTTGAGGTGACAGTAACTGATCATCAGCTTCCTCTCTGTGTGTGTTGTGTGTCTGTCAGGGTGAAGCAGTGTGTGGACCCTCAGTCTCTGGAGCTTTGTGTATCCGTCAGCCGTGGCCTGGAATGTGTCGTGGTATCTATGGAAACCACCAGAGATTTCTCGAAACTTACTTGAAACCGTTTCCTGGTAAGTTTCAAAATAAAACGTCTGTCAGATGATGTCATATCCTCTGTCTGTTGGCTGACATCACTAATATTTGCCGTCAGGTTATTACTTCACGGGTGATGGGGCATTCCGCTCTGATGATGGTTACTACCAGATAACTGGTCGGATGGATGATGTCATCAACGTCAGCGGTCATCGTCTCGGGACAGCAGAAATAGAAGACGCTCTGGTGAGATTACATCACTTCCTCAGAGTGTCACATGACCACATGACATCATCTTTATTCCATCACCGCAGGATTGTTGAAAAACTGCTGATGGTTATGTTGTTGTCATGGTGATTGTTAGGATGAACATCCATCGGTTCCAGAAACAGCTGTGATTGGAATCCCACATGTCATCAAAGGAGAAGGTGAGAGATCTTCAGCATCATATCTCGGTGTGTGTGTGTGTGTGTGTGTAATCATTGTTTTCCTGCAGTTTGTGTCACTCTGCTGCCCCCTGCTGCTCACAACCTTTTAACACAGCGTGGGTGTGTGTGTCTGTGTGTGTGTGTGTCAGTTCCCTTTGTGTTCATGGTGTTGAAGGATGGAGTTTGTGACGACCCCCTCGTCGTGGTTCAGCAGCTCAGAGAGGTCGTTGTGACTAAAATCGCAAAGTACGCCGTCCCTGAGCACTTCCTGGTACAACCCCGGCTCTGATTAGATTCATGATCAACACATTCTTTATTATTGAGTTTTATTA